GTTAGACATTAACACCGTTGGACGCCGGTCGGCTCAATGGTCTAGTGGTTATACCCTCGCATGCGAGACTGATACATCATGGGTTCGAATCTCGCGATCTAGGATCGTGGATGCGCATTACTGAGGATCACCACAATAGGACGAAACGGCCGTCCAGTGCTTGCATGTTTTCCATGGTGATCTAGCTTCAATTGACTCATAATCTCAACCATTGAAAAAAATAAACGATGATTGAAAAAAAATTTCTCTACAGACTAATTAAATATTTAAGAAAATGTAACTAATGAAACTATCATAAGTATTGTTTATTGTCAGTCAAATGAAACTATAAAAGCATTTCATTTCTCTTTTATATCACTAATGTTTCATTTATACTATATAAGAATGGTGAGACTCTAATTTATGGGTGACATTTGAGCGACTGCAGATTAACCTTGAGAGTGTCCACGTAATAGCCAAGACCAAATGAGAGTTATAAACCAGTATGAGAATTCGGATAATGATTTACAATTGATGGTTAAAGTTACGAGTTAGATTTAAGGTTTTCATCATGAGTTGATGCTAGGTTTGAAACTATCCTGAGTTCACTTAATCTGCGAACAAGAACAAGACTCGGTGACCAAAGACCAAAAAGCTAGCTATTTGATGTGTCCCAGCCCCGCTAACTAGAAGAAGAAGTCCAAGCATGGAATGAGGGAGTATATTCTGCAAAACAGCCAGAAGCACGAGCGATAACAACTAACACAATTCAAAACATTTATATGCAATGAGAAACCGTCCTTGGGGAGAGTTACCAAATAGCATACTAAAAGACGCAACGGACCAATAGCATTTAAGATATTTCCAAGTGGGAAATACGAGCGAAATACAAGAGCGCTTTTGGTGCGAAAACAAAGAAATTCAAATTTTCTAAGTAAAATTACAAAATTAGGTCCTTTCCCATGTGAGTTCTGGGGATCTATTGTCCCCAACAGCTGACATCAACTATAATACCAAAACTCTATTTATCCTTATAAATGAGTGAATTTCATGTCAAAATCCGAGACCTGTTCTCTTATACTTGATTAGTTCATTCATAAATTATAGTCTCACCATGAGAAATATATATGTCTAATTAATACATTTATATTCTCTTACAATCATAATATGTAACTATTATGATGTATTTTTAAATAATAAATAAACAATAATGGCACCACATGTTTATTATTTATATAAATGAAATGTTTTCATTCATAATATGATGTATATAAGTAGTATATAAATATATATGTTTCATCAATTGTCATCTGATTTCAATAATTCTATTGTTTATTTTCTATATATCTATTATGACTAAATGAATAAATAGATAAGACTTGATATTATTTCATTGAAATGTAAAAGAAATTGACTATAATGAACATCTGCCTGCGTGTTGTCAAGTTTAGGAGTAAGATAAGTAGTAGTATAATAGTGATGTTAATAATGACCTATAAACATGATATTGTAAACCTAAGATATTATTATCATCATCATCGTCATCATTTAAATAGAGATTGTATGAAATTTGTTAATTTGAAGATAATTTTTATTTGTGAACTTATATTGATTGATTAAATCAATCAAATCTGGTTGGGGACCGCGAGATGATAGCAACCGATGGTTAGAGACCCTGAATGACATGGCTCAAAATCGTTCGCAATGGCACAGGTGCATCCACTCTTTGTGTTCTCCCAAATTTTAATCTTTCGAATTCTTCATGTCCCTTTATTTCTCTTTTCATATTTATTTCACTGAATTATACTCTTTAAATAACATCTTCAAACCCTAATGTTTCCGATTACTGTTTATACTCTTACCGCTTCTACCACTACGGGATTTGAATCGACAACTGCATCTCTGTGCTAATGTGGTGTGGCAACTCGAACTGATGTACGTACGTACGAATTTCTACGTTGTTACTGACTGATTAACTGATTGATTAAAAATATAATTGAATGAATAGAGCATTATATAACTGGGATCGTTTATAGGACAAATTCACATTGAAATGAACCTCCAGGAGATATGGAATTAAATCCATTAGGGAGCATAGGTTTTCTCAAGATTAGAGGTATATCATGCTGATGAGTGGTATATATAGAATAAAACCTCGGTCCTGGGTTTTTTGTTGACTAGTTTTAACCATTACCTTGGATCTCAAGATATCAGATTCTTGGAGATTGTTGACCGAAACCTTTGGGTCTAGGCTTTGTTTAATAGTTAAAACTCATCAGCTAGGTGTTTCTGTGATCTTGAGGAGACTTATACTTTCTGAGTGATCCTAACCTGCTTCACCCAGTTTTAAAGTTTAAGATGTTGTCAATACAGTATTTAAAGTATAAGTGACAACCTACAGTGATGAAATATTTAAAATTAATGGACTACTGAATACAAACCATTTTCATGTTTACCTATTCCTTTGATAATAATAATCGAGTTCTACCGATCATGTTGTAATAGGGCCACTAATCTAAGAGACTCCATTCTCTCAATATTCCAATATAGTAAACGTTCTAGTGTCCTATTGAGAGAGATACCATTAAGTCATTGTGTTAAAGACCATCGTACCACACTTATCCCCTAATTCGAAAGATTAGAGAATGCATTGGTAATTGTTTAACATCAATAAACGATACTTGATTTATAAATCAAAATTGATAATTCTGAAATCTCGATAGCATTGTCTGTTCATATTACTATTTTTCATTTGACTCAACTGACTGTATGATGGTTTATAACATAGTTTTATGCAGTATCTTTGTTGTCATCAGTTGTTTACCACGGCTGTAGTCAACAGAACACAAGTGGGGACAATCGAATGTATTCAACACAAAACTACAGGACTTGTTAATAAAATCTAACAATCGAACAGTAAATACGTAATTTGCGAAATGTCCATCAATTGTCTCATAATGACTCAGACTTCATTGTTCTTGCATTTTCATACAAATTGCATTCTGTTTCCATTCTTTACTGTTCAATCCTCTTGTCTTTCTGCTGCCAGACCTTCTGTTCACGACTAACATGTCAATATAAGTAGCACACACCACACTGCTACTACTATTAATGAAGTGAACGAGAAGTCATGTGGGACAAATCAATTTATTGTTTGATTCAGAATTACATAATGTCTTCGTAAAATATGAAAGCCATACATTAAATACTGCATTTGCACATTTTCCATCAGTAGTCTCTTACAAACTTCATCGTCTCCTTATTCCTGTTACTATTACAATTACTGTCTGTTTACATTCCTGATCTCTTCAATTCGATCTTTTCAACCTTCTTCTGTTAGACTTTGTATTTATGAGTAGTGTTACATACTACTTATGTCTGTCGACACAGATAGCATACAACAGACTAATACAAGTACTAATATCATTACTCTTACTACTACTAGCACTATATATATCGAACATTGTATTATTAGTGATAAGAAGTTATCAAGAATGAGATTATGTAATAATTCAGTGCGACTATCATTTAGAATAGTAAACGATTTTAGTCTGACAGTTTCAGTTATGCATTTATTCAGTATGATAGTAACTGAAGAAAGCATTATTAGAATTCAACTAATGATCATTGCAAGGAAAGTCTGTATATGATAAATTGATAATTTTCCCTAAAATATATTCTTCGTATTCACAGTTCATGTTTTATACTCTGTTATTCTCTTCCTGTTGTCATGCCTTACACTCGTATAAGTGATAATCGGTTCGTTAATAACTTGGAATATAATCGGTAATGTATATTTATTAGGTAATAACATAAAAAAACTACCAGCTGTTTCATAATATTTAATCATTTTAACCATAATCCCATATAGGAAACATTAAAACTTCTGTGCTGTCTTACCACATGACTAACTCAGATTATATTTATACTCTGTAACGATTGGAAAAGATGCAGTTTATGAATGATCTTTGATAAGGTCTCACTATCCTTGAAATTTCATTCATATCACATATATATATAATTTTCATTAACCTAACTTTTGATACTTCTACTGCTTGGTGATTAAATATTTGTAAAATGTACCGTGTTTGACAAACAGTCGACGTGTTATCAACAAAACACTTCCATTACTCAGCCAATACTAAATAGATTCAGTTGAGTATTTTACAGAGGGTTTATCTGTTTGTAAGCATCCGACATTCTGATGGTATAAGCATACTTGATAAATAAATGTTTAATATAATATAATAATAAAGAACAAATATGCTTTTCATCACATTTGAACAAATATGTTTATTCTCTTGAAGTCATAAACCGATCAATGTTAGACGATCATTGAAAACCAGGAAGCATGGTACAGTTATTTTGTCTTGGTATGGAACTCCTCAGCAGTGCGCATTTATGAATCCACCGGGAATATAACCCAGGGCCTTCAAATCCCTAGACTTTAGACCTCTGATCCAGGATCTGGTAGATTAAATTTCAAAGTCAATATCCAACAGTTCACCACCATTTAGTGAATAACGGCCTCAAATCCAACATGATTGAACTACAGCAATCACAGTTTCACACTAGAAATCCAGGAATCTTAGCAAAAAATACTAGTTGAGGAACCTGAAGTTCAAAAACATAGTCTCCAGTGTAGTTATGGGTTCATTTTACTGTGAGATGTCTCAAAATAATACGAAACAAACGTCTGATGTTCATTGATATTCATCACTTGTTCAACTACGTTCAGTTTAGTATTTTAAGCTCCATCTCAGCTTATTTAGGATTATTGTTTTCTTCTTTTGAATGAAATATTTTCGTACATGGTCTCTCTCAATGTGTGCACGTTATGACCTTAATTTAATGAATTAATTTATTCAAGGTGTGACTAATATTCTTTTCATATTAATAAATTTTAGGGGCGTTCACATGTTCTAATTTGATTATTCCATTGACAGTAATAATAGAGATTCATCACATTGAAAGTATATTGTATATGTCATTCAAATAATTAAAATGAAGAAAACGCATTT